ATCATCATCATCATCATCATCATCATCATCTGCACATCATTGTCATGCATCATCTTCCCATCCAAGGGGGAAAAAAATCTATTTGGAGACACAGCCCTATAGACTTGGTAGAAATAAATGAGACAAACAATTTATTAGGCTCAAGTTGTTTTGGGAACTTATAGGATATTCAATACTTTTAGTATGCAAAATGGGACTATAATGAACTTTAATAATTCAGAGTTCCTCCAATATTCTTCCACTAGAGATAGCTCAAATTAGATTTCAAGGAACCTGAAGCACTGATCAAGAATTATGTAAATTCTATGCATAAGTGTAAATTTAATTTCCATAAATTTATTTGGGTGGTGGTGTTAGGTTTCCCTTCTCTACCCCATGGACTGTCATTTCATGAATTTTCAGCAATAACTAAGAGGATGAAAAATCAAAACAGAAGGAAACATGTGGACTTCTCAAGAATAGATAGGGAGAAAAATGGGAATGAAATAAAAGGCGGAATGAAATATGCAGAACCTTCCAATCTTCCTTGGTTTCTAAGTCTCAGAGCAAGACTTGTTTCTGGAACATTGAGTTCTAGAAACTTCAATTTAACTTTGATAATTTTTAGAACCAAATTCACACCAGAAGATTAAATTGCTACCTGCAACATATTAGACAGAAATGCTTAGTTATAAGGAAAAGAAAAATGGTCGCTGATTTTTTAAAAAAACTCTTTAAAGACTATTCAACTAACTGCATTAGATGAGCCTCCTGGAATATATAAATTGAGTGGAAACTACCAATAGCCTGAAGATATTGAAAACATACTCAGATTTAAATTAATTACTACAGCACATCCTCTAAAGACAAGAACAGATACATGTATAAAACAACATTCTTTTTTCTGTATTCATCAATTTCAACTCCAGTAGACAAGCCATAGCCTTCAGGGGCACTGAAGACAGTTCAGAACAACCCTTCTCGTGACATAGTTGTGCTGCTTTTCAATTTAACGAAGCAAAATTGCCTATCTGGCTGCTAATTCAAGCATCGCCAGCCATCACCCTAACTGCTCTTATGACTGTAATATAGGAGACAGGTGCCGATGGACAAAAGCTAATGCACTTCTTGAAAATGTCACATGACTCCATCAGCAATCTCATCTCATTTTGTGAAGAGTCTGGAGTTAATTAAATATCTGGGAAGCTTCATTTTCTTCCCACACCACTTTTAATACTTCTGACTCTTATGGCCATTCAAAGAGTTTTACATCAGGGAGCGAACCATCTGCCCAATCCTCCCACCCCATTAAAAATATGTCCAGTGATTTCTATGGAACGAGACCAGAGAGAAGGTAAGCACGTGAAAAGGAATATCAACTGCCAAGATGGCAAATTACCTGGGTAATATCTAGCGAGGCCAGTTGCGCTGCCAAAAACCTGCCACAGCAAACTTTGATCTTCTTCTCTGTTCTTTTTAAAGACTTCATCTAAGGCACCTGTCCAGTTCAGTTCATTCAACACGATTGTAGCTGCAAAGGACATGAGAAAAGAAAATACATTTGGTACTATAAAGTTGCAGTTGTATCTGTAATGTACCATACAGAAAAACATGTTCATCAGATGAATACTGGGTGCTCTTCATTTTTTTTAAAAGAACTGTGCGCTGTGCTTTAGAGAAGACAGTTCTGCTTCGCTAGCAAGCTCTCTTTGAACTTTTAGCCTGGTTGAAAGATTAAAAATCCAGAGCAAGGAGAGCAGTCAGCAATGGCATAGCTGCGCCCTTTTGCTTATCTATTCTTTTGTGATGCACTTCCTCTTGTTGATGCTCTCCACTTTACCCTATTTCTTCAATGCTATTTCTATTGCTGTTGGCTGTGCTTTTGGAAATATGTGTGTTTTTATTCTTTTTTTTAAAGATAGTGCATTTATCTTAATAACTTCTTCTTCTTCTTCTTCTTCTTCTTCTTCTTCTTCTTCTTCTTCTTCTTCTT